TCGATCATGGATCCTTCTTAACAAGAAATTCAACGTGCTGGTTAGAGAAATGAAAGGCTCTCTTTTTTCTCATGGAATGTCCCTTTGCTGAGGTTGTGACCTCAACAATGAAATGGGGAATGGAGATAAGGGCCTTCAGAGTAGAATGGGGAGAAAACAAAAACTCTTGGGTCAGACTCAGTGGACAAGGTGTTCTTCTTCAAATCTGGTCAGAAAGTTTCTTTCACAAGGTCGGGAAACTTCAAAAGGAACTCACAGCCAACGACCACTGCACTAATGACCGAATCTTTATTGAATGGGCCAGGATCAAGTCAAATCTTCCCCATACAAAATCCTCAAATTTGATGAGATCGAATTTGGAAGATCTATATGGCCATCCCTGTTTGGATGGAATCACGCCCCATACACTCGGAAACTCCTTCTGGGTCAGCTTTGCCTATTCAAGCCAGCAACGTCACTGGAAAAGTTACCCAAAGCAAAACCTTTGCTCAATTCAAGAAGCACGGGGAAGGCCTCTTTCCTTAAATTGTCAATGAAAGGGACCCGCATGATCAGACTATCTCTGACTGGAGATTTAAAATTCAAATCTCAGCAGTCAAACCCCAATGGATACTAACACGGGTCTTCTCTTACCGCAACCATAATTGTGCCCCAAAAGCCACCACATAAAACCCAAATCTCAGGCCCATCCTCCTCTAAACAATTGGGCCAAAAAAGCTTGGAGCTTTGGCAAAACAGGGAGTCTAAAATTCAACAAACATATTATACTTGCAAGTAACTTGTTGTACTTAAAAAATAACAGAAACAGCATTTCTTCTCGTAAATCATAGGACTCCACATAAAGATGCAAGAAAAACTATGGCCATTACTAGCACCAAGGTATACCATATGAACAAGTCCAAGTCCAACACAAAATAGAAGGAGAAAATTCTTACCCTCAGTTTGCAGCCTATTTTCTTGTAATCACTCTTTTGAAGGCCTTTACAATCAATCCGAACCAGCTCCTCAGTGAGAAAAGCATCTCGTACCATCGGTACAAGACTGCCATAGTAACCATTTTTTGCTGCATAGTAGACTACATGTCACATACCAAATCTAGATGGCCTCACCAAACAAAACACAGTTGACAAGAAAGGATACCTAGTTTTGTTAATGCAGGAACAGCTAATCCTCTTTTTCTCATCTCTTTAGTTTCCTCGATACTCAAGCCATCGATAGTAGTTTTTATAAGCCTAGGATATACAGGCTCGTGGGGCTTCCAGAGCATTAAGGGGATAACAGGCCTCTTCTTGGGATGATAATTCCTTCCTCTATAGAGCACAAGTAAACCACCATGTCTGTGGATGATTTTACCAAATGTCTTATCCTAGAAGACATACAAGAACCCACATTACTAATCAATGACACAGTAAAACATAAAAATGAAATTCAAAGATGAGTGAAGCATATCTTTTTAGAGGATAAAGCCCTGAACAGAGTAAATGGATACTTGTTCAAGCAACTTAATTCTGAATAATTACACTAATAAAATGGGATTAAGAAGCAAATGAAGTGGATGAGATTGAATTTGGAGGACGGAGATACCTCCAACTGAGTGCAAACATTCTTCATATCAACTGTAGGCACGCCCATACATTTTATTCTTACAGCTTCAGAATGTTTCCAGTTATTATGAATATCATTCAACATGTTATGTGTTAAACCATCTCGTCCTGCAAAACAAAAGATGATGGAAATCAGCAAGCAGACATTCGGATAATGTGCTTTTATAATCACACTATAAAACTTATGTCCAGTGATATTCAACATCTTTTTCACTAGAGTAGAGAAGGAAAAAAGTGTTTCATGTCATTACAAAGGCTAAAGCTCTAATAGCAAATGGAGGCATGAAGCACATCACATCACTAAATTTCCCAATCCATGACAGTAGGCTTTAATGCAAATAACAGAAGTAAAGCATGGTTTGCATAATAAATGAACACAAGATGTCTCCACACCACTAAATTCCCCAGTCTATGACGGTAAACTTCAACACTAATAACAGAAGTCAAGCATGGTTTGCATTACAAAAGAACACCAAGATGTAAAGTGTAACAGGCAGTTGTATACAAGAACTTAGAACAACTGGATTTCTGATAGGAATATGTCTAGTGCCTAAATTACAAAATTGTTTCACCAAATGCCCTCTCCAAAAATATTAGGCAATCCATAACTTTTCGGTGCTTCTCTGTTTTTAAAAAACATTACTCCGACAAAAACTTCAGTGATTATTATTTAAAAATCTCCAACCATATAGGATTAAAAATAATCCTAACAATACATTTGATTCATTATATCTAGATGCAGCAATACTAAAGCCATCAGAATATCAACAACAACTTCTTTGAATAACCTAATTATGTGTGCTTGGCAAACAAGTTTCATGAAGTGGTTTAGATTGTAATGATCCATCTTCGAGAAAAGAACAAAAGGCAAATGAAAATAAGTAGTATAATAACTCCTGAATTATCAACCTTCTCAAATTCATTATGAAATGATGCTTATTTTCAAGTCATACATATACAACAGTACAACCATGGCACTTCAATAAAGAGTTAAAACCAAACACAACTGAGTACCGCCTTCAAGTCAGCAAACCAGCCCGATCTTTATGCAGAATTTCACTTACACCTTTCACTTGATGCAATTACAATATGCAATAATGTAAAGCAATACCTCAAAGTCTTTGGCATAGATACCATGGCATAATCAAGTTAACACATGGGTTAAATACCAATCTTTACTTTCTCAATTCCACTTAAAATACTTTTGCAAAAATTGAAATACTACACAATAACAGTAAAAGACAACAAATCAAAGCTCATCTCATCCAACACACTACCAAACCTTTGGGTCTAATAACAAAAGAAATGATTTTTTTCAACAAAAGTGAATACCCAAATTGACTTGCCGCTTGGTTTTATGCCTCTGGCACCTTTCCACAAGAGCTTTCCTCTCCGCATTCGTTAAAGGCTCTCCTTGAATTCTCTCTCTCGCCACTCTTCTCTTCTCTTCCACCGTTTTCTCATCTTCCGGTGACCCCACTTTTGGGTCAACCACAGGTGCACACACTCCAGTCCACACTCTATCCAACTTCCCAGGTCCAAAAGGTGAGTACTTGGGCTCGCGAAGCCCAATGGGCCGCACATCCGTACTGCTCTCAGTGTAACTGAAGCGGAAGTCGAAGGGCAATTTGGATTGAAGCGGTTTCTCACCAGTCCGGTCCAGTGACGACGGCGGACGGTACCGGGGTTTGGGCTGCTTCTTGGGTGGTGACTGAGTGGAACTAGGGCTTTGGGGTTTAAGGGACGGCGGGGGTACGAAGGAATATTTTGAATAGAGATTTGAAGAAGCGGCGGCGGTGGTGGTAGAAAAGAGGTGGCGCGTGGCGGAGAGTGGGAGAACTTGGTTTTTCTGGCGGGAGAATAAGCGGAGCATTGTGACGGGTCAGAGGAAATCGGGTAAATTCCCCTCCGAATATAGATGAGGTGATTTGCTCAAAATGAGTTAGGTATTTTAAAATTAACTATTAGGACAAACACTATCAGTTTATTAGAGTTCCACTTTTTCAAATTTGAATTTGTAGCAAAAAGTCTCACATTAAAATAAAGCGCTCCCTAATAGAATTCTTGGCATTGCAATTCTAAACTTACTTTGGACCATGTATATTTTTTCTATTAAGCTTAATCAAACATACATAGTTATAATGCTTTATGCTTTAATCCAAAACTAGTTGACCTTTGCTATTTTATTTTTTTTGTCGTTGTTCATTTCACCTTATTCAAGCTAATTTAATGTAATGCGCCTCTAAGTAGTTATGTTCTAAATAAATTTAATTCAAAAGTTTTTTCATTTTTATTTTGGTTGTCAACCAATCCTAATACTAGTCCTCTTAAAAGATAATTCAAGATTTGAAGTTTATGAATTTTTATCATAATCTCAAATTATATATAAGCTAAATGAGTTAATTCCCGAAAATTCGTACCTGAACAGTTGGGTCCAGTCCTGCCTCATCTCATCTGTCTCTTTTTAGAACTGAAAATGCTATAAAAAAACTTCTATAAGGGAAGTTAAATTAGTTAGATAGCTTATGATAATATTTTCTACATATAATTGACCATAATTAGTTTCAGATTTAGTCATACATAATAAATTGGTTTGATGTATTTGTCTTTTTTAATTTACTTGTCATCTAGAATTCTAGACCACTAGCGTATTTGCTTCAAGGAAAAGTTTTTTCTTTAAAAATAAGTGTAAAGTTAGGAGAAGTAGCTAGTCCTTTTCTTTAGTGCAAAAGCCATGAATTCTTCCTAACTTTTTGTTTACAAATCGTATTTCTTAAGGCTATTTTCCAAAAAAGAAAAACATTGTAATAAACTAATATATATTATTAAACGGCATAATCTTGCACATAACTAACTTTTCTGTACAATTGACTTGTGGTACATTAACAATTAATGTTAGAAGTCCTTAAATATTGAACAAAAATTAAACTTATTACATATAGTTATGTCATTTGGTTGCCTTTGGATAATGGGATATTATCACAACAAAAAATTTGAAAAATCACACTCATTAAACTTGAAGTTTTTTAACTTTGCTACTAATGTAAACAAAGTAAAAACTTGCATTTAAATCCAAGTTAGCCAGGGTTCCTAGTGTAATGGCTTTTTGGATATCAGCTACATTCTTTCCATGCATTACAATTACAATATAATCTCTTTCATGGATATTAATTATTCTTTTGTATATATATCCTTCAAGATTTCAATTTACTTTAAAAAAATAAAAATTCTTTAGTTTACTACCATTGTTGTTGCTTCCAGTAATCATTGAGCATATTGTATATGCCAATGGATTCGATTTCTAGAGTTAGTAGGTTTAGAATGAATATTTGTGTCGTTATTGAAAGTTCAGTTGAACCTGTAGAACCTATTCTAAAGTAAGGAAAAATTATTACTCCTTTCATTCTCAACAAGTTGCACATAATAATCAACCAATCTTTATCCATCTTTCTTCTAAGACAACCAATCAAAATCCTCAAAATGAAGTTAAGTTAAAAGTGTCCTTCAGATCATCTTTCTTCTCATTAATTGCTATTACCATTATATTGTACCTAATAATACTTTTGCATGTCACCAAACCTTCCATATCACTAATGACACAAAGACTATTGTGTCTTGTGAAAATGTTGAGGAACAATCACTTCTGTTGGCTTTTATCTTATCAGCTACTACTTCTTATCTTGATCTTGACTGGCATTGAAGCTGTTGAAGTAGATAGAAAAGAAGTACTCTTTTACTACACTAAGCTAGTACTGTACATTTTCATAATCTTGTTTTTGCTTGTGCTGATCTGCATTGTATTGCAGGACTTTTACATTGTTTTCTTGAAAGATAATCCGGCGAACGAAGAATCTGCATTTCAGAGACATATTGATGTCCTGTCATCTTTAAAGAGAAGGTTAGTTAAATTAGTCTGTCATTCTCTCATGTGATCCAAGAGTAAAGCAGTTCTTGAAATGAATTTTCTTGACTTGTTATGTTGTAATTTGTACTAGGGATGCAACAGAATCTCATGTTTATAGCTATACAAAAATCTTCAATGCATTTGCAGCAAAGCTATCTCAATATGAAGTTCACAAGTTATCCAGTAAGTAGCTAGGATCCCTCTGCTATAACTTTTGTTAGTCTTTGGCAAATTTCTTTGATGCTAAAATTGAGTTCTTCTTCTCTAGGCATGGATGAAGTGGCTTCTGTCATACCAAATAGATATAGGAAGCTACATACTACAAGATCATGGGAATTTATTGGTTTGCCTGCAACAGCGAAAAGAAGATTGAATGGGGAGAGCAACATTATTGTGGGAGTCTTCGATACAGGTTTAATATTGTTTGGATTTTTCATTTTGGCGAAGAAAATAGAGTGCAGCAATCATATTTTCTTGAAAATATTTTGACAGGGGTAACTCCTCAATCAAAGAGCTTTAAGGATGATGGCCTTGGTCCTCCTCCAGCCAAATGGAAAGGAAGTTGTCACCATTTTGCAAATTTTTCTGGATGCAACAAGTAAATTATATATGCCCTTGTCATCAGTTTTGTCTTACACATCATTGACATCCATCTTGGAATCTACTTTTGCTCTAGAAGCATAACATGTAAAATCTAACATAAATAATAGGTAGTTCTGAGTCACACTTAACCAACCAGCCGCGCACAACTCAAAAAGTGTGTCTGAAATTTAAAGTTAATACCTTCTTATGTTGTCCACATGGTACCCTAGCCTGCATCTGTTCCTCACATGTAGAACATATTACTAAAGAATGTTATTGTTTGTTTTACTAGGATTGAAGACATAGTAGCCTCAGCCATTGCCTTAAATTATTTTTTTGATTCAGAAATTTTCTTTATCTGTATATCCTAACTTACATAAATGGACCTGCAAGAGATAATTTTTGTGCATGTTTTGTTTTTGTGATCATCAAGCAAGCTTATAGGGGCAAGATACTTCAAGCTGGACAAAGTACCTGATCCAAATGACATAATGTCACCAATTGATGTGCACGGTCATGGAACACATACATCATCCACCCTAGCGGGAAGTATGGTACCTGATGCAAGCTTATTTGGTCTTGCCCGAGGGACAGCACGTGGAGCGGTTCCTTCTGCTAGAGTAGCTATGTACAAAGTCTGTTGGGCGACATCAGGTTGTTCAGATATTGACATTCTAGCTGCATTTGAAGCTGCCATTATTGATGGTGTAGACATAATATCCATCTCAATTGGTGGTCTTACTGGTGGTTATACGACTGATGTGATATCTGTTGGGGCCTTTCATGCCATGAGAAAAGGGATCCTTACTGTGGCTTCTGCTGGAAATGATGGACCTAACCTCAACACTGTCGCAAACCATGCACCATGGGTGCTAACTGTGGCAGCTAGTGGCATTGATAGGGAGTTCAGGAGTAAGGTGTTGTTGGGAAATGGGAGAACAGTCTCAGTAAGTCCTCTACCTTCTTAACGAAAGCTGAGTATGCAAAGGAGAAAAAACAAGTCTATTGGATCACTGCTTTAGATCAAAGTTTTACAGGCTTTGGGTGGTTGTATTTTATCCCCTTATCTCTTATGCATTTACTCATAGCAGCATTGTGCAGGGAATTGGAGTAAACGCGTTTGACCCAAAGCAAAAATTGTATCCTCTTGCGATGGGAGTTGATATAGCCAAGAGCTCTGATACTCGAGAGAGTTCAAGGTACTAATTAGGTTGCTATTAGGCATATCTTTCTTGAAAGTAGCCTTTCATATAATATGACACTGTCACAGGTACTGCAGTGAAGGATCAATGGACCCTAGAAAAGTAAAGGGAAAGCTTGTTTATTGCCAATTAGGTTCTTGGGGTGTTGATTCTGTTGTAAAAGAACTCGGAGGAATTGGCACTATTATTGAAAGTGATCAGTTTCTTGATTCTGCCCCAATTTTCATGGCTCCTGCAACAATAGTTAGCAGCAGCATAGGGAGAAGTATGAATAGCTATATGCATTCAGACAGGTAAAAATGTTATAACCTGTTTAGTCCATTTCCGAACTAGAATTACTGATTGTTATACTTCTGTGTGATGCTTTTGAAAAATGCAGATTACCTTCAGCAGTAATTTACAAATCACAAGAAGTTAAGATTAAAGCTCCATTCATCGCATCATTTTCATCAAGAGGTCCAAATCCGGGAACAAAGCACCTTCTGAAGGTAAATTTAGATGGAAGTCAGAGTTCATTGTTTATGTTAAATTTCCAAATTAGCTTTCTGATGCAGCATTGTACAGCCTGACATTGCAGCTCCAGGAATTGACATTTTGGCTTCTTACACCCCCATGAAATCACTCACTGGTCTGAAAGGCGATACTCAATATTCAGAATTCACCCTCATGTCTGGCACTTCCATGTCATGCCCTCATGTTGGTGGTGCAGCTGCATATGTGAAGTCATTTCATCCTGACTGGTCTCCTTCTGCTATTAAGTCTGCCATCATGACTACTGGTAAATCTACAAAATCTTGTTCTCCACTGTCATTTGGTCTAAAAATCAGTACCCCTAAGCCAAATAGATAGTGTAACGAAAAAAAGATTAGTCCTCTTGAGCATCAAATCATATAAGACTGCACAACAACAAAATACTTGTCAGACTGTAGTTTCTAAAGTTTTGATCTTTTTCCTTACGAACTTGAAGCAAGATCAATGAGCTCAAAGGTGGACAGGGAAGCAGAGTTCGCGTATGGTGCTGGACAAGTTAATCCGATGAAAGCAAGAAGCCCTGGATTAGTCTATGACATGGATGATATGGCATATATCCAATTCTTATGCCATGAAGGCTATAATTCATCATCAGTCTCCAGTTTACTTCGACAACAGGTAAATTGCTCCACACTGATTCCTGCAACTGGCGAAGATGCTATCAACTATCCTACAATGCAGCTTGGCCTAAAGAGTGATCAAGAACCAACCATAGGCATTTTCAGGAGGAGAGTTACCAATGTTGGCCAAGCCAAATCTGTTTATAATGCAACCATCAGAGCTCCTAAGGGAGTGGATATAACAGTACAACCAATGACTCTCTCCTTCACACGCCCGATGCAGAAGAGAAGTTTCAAGGTTGTTGTGAAGGCAAAACCAATGTCAAATGCTATAATATTGTCAGGCTCACTCACTTGGAAAAGCTCCCGGCACATTGTAAGAAGTCCTATAGTCATATATGATCCAAAGGTTTTTGATTAAGTTGTAATGTGATAATCTCCATGAATAATGATACAGAAGAGGCACAAAAGAACATTAAGAAACAGAGATTATAGATGAAATTGAAGGTCATGATGTGACATCTGTGAATAATTCTACATGTATATTCCTCATATATTACTACTTTTATTATCACTTCTGCAACATTATACATACTACTCCTATTTACTTAGGACTTCAAGAAACAAGTCTGAATTAATTAGTTGAACACTTGTGCTAGAAATTCATTGGATCGATATATGCCATTTCATACTCGAACTTGCACATTAACCCTTTAGTACAGTGGATCTGATGCAAGCCTTATCTTGAATGATTGCGCGCATAAATTGTTTACCTACTACATTAGTTTTGAACCAATGTAGATCATTATCTATTATCATCACCAAATGGAACCCAAGGTAGGACTGAAAAAATATCTTTTAATAAAACTATTGGTAGAAGTCATCATCTATATTAGGGGAGCATAAAGTCATTTATTATAAAGCTAAGGACATTTTTGGGGTCAGCATAAGGTGATTTATAAATTAAACTCTTATTAGTAACATATAAAAAGTCATCCAACAAATCTCTATAAAATCTTTTTCTATGTGAGTGCATAGCCAACTTATAATAAAGGAGGAGGGTTACTGTTAGGTTGATATCCAATATAAAACCTTGTCCAACTATAATAACTAGTAAATCTTGCAAGTACTTATATCGATGACCTGTTATATGAATATTAAAGATTTATATAATTGACCTCGACTAATCAAAATATATATGGAGAGATATATAAGTGATTGCTAATCCACAACTTTAAATAAACATACAAAAAAGTAGTAGTGCACACACAGCCAACAAGAGTCAGATACAGAATGCTAGGCCACCACAACCAATAGTGATATCTTGAAACACTTCCAATTCCATGTTTTTTCTTTATTCAGCAATGCAACAAATTCAGCATAAAAGAAAGGGAATATAATTTCTAAGTGGACTGAACAAAATATTACTACAATGATTGTGTGCAACACTAAACAACCCCACTATAGTGTCTAGTGTTAGGTATATATCATCTAGATCTTATTCTGCAATAAAATTCAACTTATATATACTCACCTTTACGCTCTTTTATGTCACTTAACAGATGAGATAACTACAAGTAACCGCTCGTGATAAACAAAATTAGTAACTTTATGGTAGACAACCTGTTACAACAAGATAATATAAAAATTGGTTACACTAGCTAGTGTATATATATATATATATATATTTTAAGTCGAGCCGAATATTTTATCTATTTTTGTTTAACTCATTTTTGATCGGCTCATATTCGACTCGACCTGGGATGAGATGCTTTTGGCAGCCGTGCAATGCAAGAAAAGTGCCAAAGATAGCATTTATGCAAATGATGAAAAACAAAATAATGGGTTAGATTTTAGGTGCACCAACAAAATTATGGTCCAAAAATCAAGAGCCTTCTTTTATTTTGGCAGCACTCACATTTTTCAACTCTAGAGTAACTGAACAAGCATGCGTTAATTTTGTACTTTGTCCTATTCGGTGCCAAATGCCAATCATACCAAGCAGTGGCGAATGCAGAGAATGATGTACGCGATTATGAACCTAATTATTATTGTATATTTACTTAAGGTTATTATAGAAATTCATAAATTTCAAATTTTGAATCCGACCCCTCTAAATTTTTATTACCAAGCCATGGGGTTTTTTGCATTAGGCATTATATAAAGCATTGCATTTATTTTTTTACCGACACAAAGAAGCAACACGGTTTGTTGCTTGCTTGCTGTTCACCATATATATATAATAAAAAAATGAAATCTTGAAATTAAAGTACCATTTATTACACACAGAAGATATTAGTAAAATACAATTCAAGCAACAGAGGTCAACAATAACTATACAGATTTTCAGCCGTATTATTGGTTACAAGTAAGAATGCAAGCTATTGGGAGCTGACCAAAACCTAACATTTAATGTTTTTGCCACCACACATGATTGATTATATCTTACATTTTTGGTTGGTCACAACACAAGAAAAAAAACAATCGACAAAATCTGGAGTGGTAAGTACTTATTCATTTTTAATTAGAAGTCTCAAGTTCGAATCCCCTAACTACGGTGTTGTTTTTGTTAGAAAGCTAACATAAATTTAAATTTAATCGAACTTTAATTTGAATACCGAATATTACTGAGCGGGAAAAGAAGAGAAAAATGGAAACAGCAACACCACTAAGTCAAACATATAATACAGTTACGAAACAGCAATTAGATTGCTACATTTATGAGGGACGTCACCGAATGTCTTTCCGGCAACTAATCTTTTATCTTTAAGCAAAAATATTATATGTATTAACCCATTTTCAAGATAGGAGTGGAGCCAATATTTTTAATTTATAAATTAAAATTCACAATTATTTTTTTCTTATTATACATAAAATAGATTATGCATACATATCAAAAGTTTTTTCAACTTAATTTAAGGATTGAGCCAAAAATATTATGTTCGGTAGGACTCATAACTACAATTATGGGTGTTTACGGTTTGGATAAAAATCGATCCAAATAGAAAAACTGAACCAAACTGATTAAATAAACTGATTTTTATTTGGGTTAGGTGTGGTTCGGTTTTAGATTTTTAAAAATCGATAGTATATGGGTTGGTTATGGTTTTGATCGTAAAAACCCGAAGAAATAACCAAATCGAACCGACAAATTATATACATATATATTATTAATATACATACATAATATATTATTTTTATAAATAATTTTAAAGATTGTTTTCATCAAAATTTATTTATAATTTACTTATGAAGGAAAAAATGTCCAAGGTGAGGATATTTATCTTATTGGTTTTATGTATATGAGTGTGTCTATGATTTTATAAGATTGAAAATATCACTCTCTTTCTTCTAGGCCAAAATAATTAATTTTGAAGCTTTAGTCAGAGTAAATTCAATGATTGAAAATTTTGTAATGTCAGTCATTCTAACTATTTTCATTTAAAATGGATTGTTGTCACTTTTTTCATGTTTTGAGTGAATTATTTCTTTTATTTTTATCTATGGTTAATAACCGAATAACCAAATCGAACCGAACCAAAACCGATAACAACCAAACCGAAAAATATATACTATATTTAGTTTGGTTTGGTTTTGATAATTTTAAAACCAATTAAGTTGATTTGATTTTGGTTTTAACCAATAACCGATCCAAACTGACCCGTGAACACCCCTAACTACAATGGTAGTTTTGATCCTGATTCAAGATAGTACCATATCCTAGTTTATGTACACTTTCCGTTTTAATTTATTTATCTGATTTTGACTTGACTTGACACGAAATTTAAAAATATGAATTTTTTTTTAAAAAAAATCTTGTCTAAATATATGTACAAGAATCTAAAAAGATAATAATATGAACAGCATGAAGCTAAGTAACTTTTTTTTTTCTTTGGTGGGGTCTAATTATTTAACAATTATATTTAGTATCACCATTTTTAAGTGACCCAATGAATAAGAAATACAACTTCTTTGAACAATGATTGCACAAAAGTATTTTTATATATATAGCACTATAGAAGTTCCTAAAAGCCAGCATTATTCCATCATATCTCTATTTCCTCTCAATTGTTTAAGCTGTTTTTCCACCTTTTTTTTTTTTTTAAGTTTGCTTTTAATTTCATTTTTCTTTATTGCTAACTAGCAAAATTAAAGTGCCATAATTTGTCACACTCTTTCCCTTGGCCTATTTAAATTCTCCATCAACCTTTATCATTCCTCAGTACTTGAGCTGAATATCCCAAAACAAAGGTATGTTTTCTCCTTATATTCATGTTTACAACACCATGCACATTATAACATTTCAATATGTACACGAGTACTAGTGGCGGATTCAGAATGTAAAATCAGTCATTCTGTTTCTTTTTTATGTACATGTTTTTATATCTTTTTCTTAGGCAGTACACATGTAATTAAGCTTGTCGTGTCTACTCCAAATTCGCTATGGCACGCAACTTAATTATTAGGTAGACAGACCTTTTAGGTAGAAATTAAATACATGTACCAGTTTCCTTTATGCTCTAAATATACGTGATATATAAAATATTTCACGTCTAAATAGTACAAGTTAGTTTTGCTTTAATAGCTTCACATTTTCAACCTTAATTAGATGTAGTGGTTTGTGGTTGAAGTTATTGCTTCACGAGTATGGCTTCAATTTAGGGGTGGGGGCATTAGTACCGGAAAAACAAAAAACCGGACCGAATCGAACTACTTCGGTTCTTCGAAAGTTTGATTCTTCGGTTTGGTATTTGGTGTAAGGGTCTTGAAACTTTGATGAACCGAATTTTTAGTAATTTTTTTTTTTTTAAAATAAAAATAGTATACTATATTTTATTTGACATTTTGATGGTAATGTCATTGTCTTGTCACTTTTAGAGTGCATTAGTTTTAGCTTTTGCACACAAGAAGTGACTGCAATTCAATGTACTCTGTTCATGTAATTAAATCCTACAAGTATGAATGCTTTTGTATTTGTACGGAGTATTTAATATTTTCTAGAGACGGAGCTAGGTGGGGGTTCGGATGAACCCACTAGCTTTTCCATAAACCTTGTATATATATTAAAAAATTAAAATAAATATATATGTATATTAACTTATGAACCTTCTAACAAAATTGGGTGAAAATGCCGTTTACACTAGTTATGTGGGTTCAAACCCGACTATCTATCTTTTGTCCTAAAATTTAAAACCCCCAAACTCCGCCTCTGTTCAAAACATATTATAAATGAAGTGTTGTATGTGTGAACTTTTCTCATATTTTTCTAATTTTGTCCCCTGTTTGGCCAGTGAAGATGAACTTCAGAAACTGCATGTTTTTGTTAGCATGTACAGTTTCAGTGATTTCATCTACTTTAGCAGAACGAGACATATATGTTGTTCATATGGACAAGACCAAAGTCAGATCATTAGACAGTAATCTTGGGATTTCCAAAAGATGGTATGAAGATGTTATTAGTTCTATATCTGCTGATGATAGTGAAGAGGAACAAGAAGAAAAGCCTCCTCAGCTTCTCTATGTATATGAAAAATCCATTTCTGGTTTTTCGGTGAAACTCTCCAAGAAACAACTTGAATCACTAAAACAAGTTGATGGATTCCTTACAGCTGTGCCAGATGAAATGTTAAGCCTACACACAACTCATTCACCTCAGTTTCTTGGGCTGAAAAGTGGCAGAGGACTTTGGAGTGGTCCAAATTTGACCTCTGATGTGATCGTTGGGGTGATCGATACTGGAATTTGGCCTGAACATGTAAGTTTCCATGATTCTGGCATGCCACCGGTGCCTTCTCGTTGGAAAGGCAAATGTGAAGCTGGAGCGAAATTTGCTCAATCAAATTGTAATAGAAAGATTATTGGTGCAAGGATTTTTCCCAAAGGATATGAAGCTGCTGCAGGGAAAATCAATGAAAAAGAGGATTACAGATCACCGCGAGACTCACAAGGACACGGAACACATACTGCTTCAACAGCAGCTGGAAATCTTGTCAATGGTGCCAACCTTTTTGGTTTGGCTAAAGGCTTGGCTGGTGGTATGAGCTATGGATCAAGAATTGCAGTTTACAAAGCTTGTTTCATGTTAGGCTGCTCAAGCTCTGATGTTTTAGCAGCTATTGATCAAGCTGTTATTGATGGGGTGGATGTATTGTCACTTTCTTTAGGAGGCTTGCCAAAGCCATTTTATGTTGATAATATAGCTATTGCTGCATTTGGTGCAGTCCAACATGGGGTCTTTGTTTCATGTTCAGCAGGAAACTCAGGGCCTTTGAATTCAAGTGTTGGCAATGCAGCACCATGGATTATGACTGTTGCTGCAAGCTCGTTGGACCGCAGCTTTCCAACTACCGTCAAGCTTGGAGATGGACATGTTTTTAAAGGGGCTTCATTGTACACAGGCAAGCCTACAATGCAATTGCCACTTGTTTATGGAAGAACAGCAGGTGGGGAAGGAGCTCGATTTTGCACCAATGGGACACTATCTTCAAGATTAGTCAAAGGCAAGATTGTTGTCTGTGAGAAAGGAATCAATGCCAGAGCTGAAAAGGGAGAGCAAGTGAAAATAGCTGGTGGAGCCGGAATGATTATGGTAAATAGAGTTGACGAGGGCGATGAACTTTATGCCGATGCTCATGTCCTGCCTGCCACATCCTTGGGAGCTTCAGCTGGCATTACTATTAAGAATTACATTAACTTGACAAAAACAGCCACAGCTTCAATCAAATTCGAGGGGACAGTTTATGGCAATCGCGCACCAATAGTGGCTGCCTTTTCCTCTAGAGGACCTAGTGCAGCTGGACCGGATATTATCAAGCCGGATGTTACTGCTCCAGGTGTGAACATATTAGCTGCCTGGCCTCCAAATATCAGCCCATCAATGCTAAAGAGCGATAAGAGAAGTGTGCAATTCAACATTCTTTCTGGCACTTCCATGTCTTGCCCTCATGTCAGTGGACTAGCTGCATTGCTTAAATCTGTCCATAGAGATTGGTCACCAGCAGCAATCAAGTCAGCACTAATGACAACTGCTTATACCCTTGACAAAGAAAGAACTCCAATTGCAGATGCTGTTTCCGAGACTTCAATATCAGCTACACCATTCGTCTTTGGCTCAGGACATGTTGATCCTGAAAGGGCTTCTGATCCAGGTCTTATCTACGATATCTCAACCGAAGATTACCTACATTATATCTGTAGCCTAAACTACAACTCTTCCCAAATAGCCCTTTTGTTGAGAGAAAATTATACTTGTCCTAGTCATTCATTTCAGTCACTTGGTGATCTAAACTACCCTTCTTTCGCTGTACTTTTCGACAGCAACAACCAACATCTGATCCAGACATTTAAAAGAACTGTGACAAATGTTGGGACCCCCAGGAGTACTTACAGTGTACAAGTGAAGACACCTTATGGAGTATCAGTTACTGTGAAGCCAAAAATTCTGAAATTTCAGAAAAATGGTCAGAAACTGAGATACAAAGTGAGGTTTGTTACAAGGGGAAAAAGGAGTCCTGGTGATTCAACATTTGGTTCACTGACTTGGATTTCAAGAACACATATAGTTAGAAGTCCCATTGCTGTCACTTGGCAGTAACTCAAAGGGGTAAATTTGATGACAGCATCCAATTCTTGAAACTGTCAATGTATTCTTCTGAATAAACTAACTATAGTATAATCAAATACTGTATTGCAGTTTCAAAGAAAAGGCAAAAAGTTAACCTTATTTGCCAAAGGAGGAGCCTAACACTCTGAAACATTCAAGGGATTTTCTTTCTTCTATTTGTGACATTTGAACTATTTCCCTATAGGGTCACTCGATCTTATCTAAGTATCACGAAAGTTGCTAAACTATTTTTTGTCAATAAAATGACTCAATTTTACCTTGAGTAGACATTTGGTCCGTGATAGAAATGGAACTTGCTTAAACTTTGTTGTTCTCCATATTTTTCCTAACCATTGTTATCGACACTACTATTAGCTATAACCATTAGTCACCACAATGATCAATCATCCAACATCAACCATCACCACCGCCACTAACTACCAAAAACCATAGCTAACAACTGTATAAATTATTTTTCTTTACTTTGTTGATAATATTAGATTGCTAAGTGACGAGAGGGAGTTGTTCGGATGGTAAGCACCCCTCACTTCCAACCCGAAGGTTACGAGTTCGAGTCACCAAGGGAGAAAAGGGTGGGAGCTCCTAGGGAGGGTAAAAAATAAAAAAAATTAGATTGCTAAGTATTTTATTTGAGTTTATATTTATTAATTTTAATAAAGACAAATTTCTATATTCAGATGAGAAAATGAACTAAAATGAATGTTATTACATTAGTTATTCTTCAAATTTTAGTATTATTTCTGAATAATCATATGTATTTTTAAAGTCAAACTTTTTAATCATTACAAAGAAAATGCAGGCCTAATACACTTCGATTTGGCTTTTACAACATATCATATTGACCGTTGATTAGCCTAAAATAAAGAAAAGCCCACATATTCATAAAGTACGTTACCATTACACCACTTAGTTAATTTTTAAATAATTTTAGAACCAAAAGTAAGAGCTAAAAGTCTAAAATTGGTTGAACTCATCAACAGTTAGATAATCTAACTTGTTTAATACTCTAATTAAAAACTAAAAATACAATAATCAATTAAATTAAGTGGTTTACCAGATACTTGAACAAGTGTCGCCATCACAAGACAAATCTAAAGATTTTATAATGTGACAAAATTAAACTCAATACAAAATTCTCATACTTTGATTTTTTAATCGGTATAAATTTGTTATTTAACTTGATTTTAAGTGATATTTATGTTATTTATTTTGAGTATTTACAAATAGATATTCAAATAGAGTATGAAATTGAAAAAAATAGACGCACGGGTTCTACGCGACATACATGCATAACGTCACGTAGGACACATATATCTATTTATTACTCCTTTCGTTTCTTTTTACTTGTCAAATTTTGACTTGACATACCTATTGAGAAAATAATGATTGGTATAGTGAGTTTACCATTTTATCATTATTAATTGATAGAGTCTCAAATATATTTATTCAGTACATTTTTCAAAAACATTAACTCAATGTTAATAAATTGAAATATAATAAAAAAATGTCTTTTCTTAATTTGTCAAAAATGATAAGTATAAAGAGAAATCAAATTAGGAAATATTTGACAAGTAAATATAGATAGAGGAATTATTGAACTATATACAAATTTAAGTGTTCAAAAATTAGGGAACCATATATAGGTAAGTTGAATCCAAATTAAATGACTTTTATTATGCCTTTTTAATGTTATTATTTGTAATTTCTTCTATCCTTGTATGAAACTGCCAGCAATGACGCTGTTAAATGAATTGAAATGTGCAAAGTAGCAGAAAAAGTCTCTCACCGTCAAAGAACCTTTCGGACTCTGTCAAGATAACGGCACCCACCCTGAATCCCTGTCATTCTTCAATATCGCCGAAACACCTTACATACACGCACAAATTCGCCATTTTTGTGGCACAAAGTTCAATTGCTGTCCTTTTTGGGAATCTTCTCCTTCTCACCTGATCCTGTTATTCTCTGTGATCTTTTTCTTTTAAGTAATTACTCATAAGGTACTTTCTTTTCTTGATCTTTTGCGTTTCATTGCTGTATTAGCTTCTAGTTTTTCTTTCACATTATGAATATATTTCAAGATTCAAGGATCCCATTTGATGAAATCGATTTCTTCGCATGATCAATTTTATGCATTTCGTCTAGAACATCTATCTTTGGCAATCCCCTCTTCCTAAAGGGGCAAGGAGGTTTGTTTAAGCCTTGTTTCTTGTAATGGTGTGTTGAATTTGGGTAAAATTCAGGATCTTGGACAGACCGTCTTGTTTCTTGATTTATTGTTTAGGTTTGATCAGTTTGTATGTTAGCGTACACCAAAGAACAAGAATAGTGCAACCTGGTAGTGTGTACTGATGGACAATTATAACAATTCTTCACATTCATACCCACATAACACTGGTTATGGGTACCCTCCACCACCTTCAAATCAACCATACCCCCCTCCCAGTTCTGGTGCTTATCCTCCACCAGGTTCTGGTGCATATCCTCCACAAGGTTCTGGTGCATATCCCTATCCATATCAATCCCCTCAATATCCTCCCCCTTACAACACACAACATTCTGGTCATTATAACTATCATCCCTATCCATCAGCTCCGTCAGCACCTCCAGCTCCCACTCTCCATCACTCCAGTTCTTTCGACTATGGTTACCCTTCGCCATCACCTTCAGCTCCCACTCTCCATCACTCCAGTTCTTTCGACTATGGTTACCCTTCGCCATCACCTGGTGCCTCTCCTCCCTATCCACCCCATGCATATCCACCTCCCCCAACATCTACTGTGCCTACTTCTGAACATCAAGGCGGTTACCAATATGCTTCACCTCAGCATTATCAACATTCCTGGCCAGAAAGGCCTTTGGAGAGCCAACCATCCAAAGTTCATGACTCTCTCCAGCGCCAGGATAGTGTTTCATCTATTAGTAGTTCTGGGGCAAGCTATGATTATGGTAAAGATGACTCCTCCACTCGCCCTTCAGCTTATCCACCAATACATGATCTCGTTGCAAATATGAATTTGTCTGAAAATCAACCTTCACTTTCTTCTCCTCCTGCCCCTGCATCAGCATCAGTTCCTAGTTCCCCTGCAACTTATCACTTGGGGCCGAACCCTGTTTCCGCAAAGTACAATGCTCAAGGGAATATTTATGGACACCCTAATTCATCCTTTTCAAGGTGGGAAGTTGAGTCAGCAAAACCAACCTATCCAACTTCATGTGCTGAACCACAGAGTACTCAAGCTATGCAGGTTGTGCCATTCATGCCTTCTAAAACCTCTTTAAAAGTTTTGCTCTTACATGGAAATCTGGAAATTTGGGTATACGAAGCAAAAAATCTCCCAAACATGGACATGTTCCACAAAACCATTGGGGATATGTTTGGGCAAATGAGTAATAAGATCACAAGTGATCCATACGTCTCAATTAATGTAGCTGATGCAACGATTGGCCGGACTTATGTCATAAACAATAACGAAAATCCCGTGTGGATGCAACATTTTAATGTCCCTGTTGCACACTATGCAGCGGAAGTACAATTTCTTGTCAAGGATGATGATATAGTAGGTTCTCAGCTTATGGGGACAGTGGCTGTCCCGCTAGAACAGATATATGGAGGGGGTAAAGTAGAGGGGTTCTTTCCGATCCTGAACAGTAGTGGAAGACCTTGCAAGGCTGGAGCAGTTTTGAGGATATCAGTCCAGTATTATCCAATGGATAAATTAAGTATTTACCATCATGGAGTTGGTGCTGGTCCTGAGTATTATGGGGTTCCTGGAACTTATTTTCCACTGCGGATGGGTGGAACAGTTACTCTGTATCAAGATGCTCATGTGCCTGATGGATGCCTTCCAAATGTGATGCTTGACTATGGAATGCAATATGTACATGGGAAGTGTTGGCGTGACATCTTTGACGCCATACGCCAAGCCCGACGGTTGATCTACATTACAGGTTGGTCAGTGTGGCACAAAGTCAAACTTGTTCGAGATGATGCTTCTGTTGAAGGTTACACTCTAGGGGATCTTTTAAAGTTAAAGTCACAAGAAGGTGTTAGAGTGCTGCTTCTAATATGGGATGACCCTACATCAAGAAGCATCCTTGGCTATAAAACGGTAAATGATAACATAATTATTTTGAACTTCTGGCTTTTTTATGTGCATAAAATTAATACTCAAGCATCATCTAAATATTAGATTAAATTTCAGTGCCTTAGGTTGTTATCAACAACATGCCTCAGATATAGGTTTGTTTATATTCCTTTTCCAAACAATCATTTAAAATGTCTGGAGAAAAGATTATGTGAAATCGTACATGTATCCTATACACACATCATCTGCTTATATGCTGTTAGTTACTCAACAACCCTCCTACTCAGAATTTTAACCATTAATCAGTTAAAATACTATTATATACATTCATAGACAATTTATTAATAAAGTAAATCAGAAGCCTGCTTTAAGTTAATGTTCTGTGGCTGCCAAGTCAAAAAACAGTCAAGGGAAAGTTTATCTTTTTTCAGCCTGTAAAACTAGTGCATCAACTAAGACAACTGGAAAGAATCCATGTCCTGGACGTGCAAGGTAGATTGTGATTCTGTTATACTTACAGCCTATGCATATCTTGATATCCATTTATTTCAGTAAGATTATTTGATGATGGACTTCTAGTTTAGCATTTTTCAGCAATGCTAATAGGTGGTGGCACTCTAACCAATTTCTGTTTTTATCTTGTTGTTATTTGCTGTAGATTGTCTCCAAAGGCGTCATTAATTGTAGTTTCTAATGCTTAACTTTGAGCTGCAGGATGGTGTTATGGCAACCCATGATGAAGAGACTCGCAGTTTTTTCAAGCATTCTTCTGTGAAAGTGCTGCTTTGTCCTCGAGTAGCAGGGAAGCGCCACAGTTGGGTCAAGCAGAGGGTAAGTTAGATTTTGACATTTCTTTCCATGGTTCTTTGTGTGGTAAGTTATATGAGACCAGTTATCAAAAAGATTTACTTGAGATCAGTAGCCCTGCAGGAATTCTAGTTTAGAATTATTGCCACATTGAGCATCATTCACTGTTTTAATACATCTAGAAATGTTTATACTTGCATATTTGTTTTTGAATTAGCTTCCTTGTTCAGTGGATGGATAACTTCCTTTTTCCATACTGTTTTTACTGAGCTTATAGTTTCTCCTAGTATTAATCCCATATCGTCTTTTGTATGCGAGGACCATCTAAGTAATACCCCCCCCCCCCCCCTCAAAGTAAAGTTTGTTCGAACTATAAATCTCGTTTGACTGCATTTCATTTCTTCCTTCCCTCTATGTTTCTTTGCTGGCATTTTCTGGTGAAGGTGTGCCCCGAGTCCCTTATCATGTGGATAGAACAATTTTGTTTGATATTATTTTTGTATGACATGCCTCTTCCCAGTAAATTAAAAGAGTTGAAAACTTTTGCTCGATACCACTAAGGTACATTTGATGATGTCTGATGCTGTTATATTGCTGGACAACTTCAATTAAGTTAATTTTCTTAAATACTCCATAAGACTAATCTTTTGTGAGTTTTGGTCTGCAGGAAGTTGGAGTAATTTATACACATCATCAGAAAACTGTGATAATGGATGCTGATGCCGGCAACAATCGAAGAAAAATCATAGCATTTGTTGGAGGACTTGACTTGTGTGATGGGAGATATGATACTCCGGAGCATCCTTTATTTCGAACATTAAAGACAGTGCACTCTGAGGACTATCATAACCCTACTTATGCTGTAACTTATCATCCTTAATATCCTTTTTCTTGTTTTCAGAGACATTCATTGCCGTTGTTAATTTTCTGATTTTCCACTGCATATTCGAGTTATATGAACAAGTATGACAATCTTCGCAATGAGTTTTTCTTGGGTAATTGCAAGTTCTAACTATATAGGATTTGTCAGTAATACGGACAGTACAAAACTTGCTTATTTTTTAATTCTTTAGGATTCTCTTACCCCAAGGTATCAATACCTTTCTTCAATATCTTTGAGCTTGGCCAACCCTAGCTATTGTAGAAATAATGGGTGTACATATCTACAATAGTTGGAGTATTTTTTTTGTGTGTGAAACTGAAGCAGTTTAGGTTTTCAACTAGTGAATCTTGTCTTCTTTAAAAGCTTATTTAGTATAAGAACTGTTATATATTATGATAATGACCATACATCAGGTTATTGTGATTTGTGGTTCCTGTACCAAACCATCTAGTTGAAAATCTCTTCCTGATTTCGAAATGAAAATCATTGTTCCCCTATTTTGATGTCCCTGTTCAACAAGTTAAATGAGAACCAATTTTTTCACTGGAGTAATATAAGATCTGACTCTTCGTCCTTATTTCCAAATAATATTAGAAATACATTTTCGACTACTATCTTAATGACCATGTCTGGTCAAAGTACGGTCTAGCATTTAGAAAATTGAAGACTGTGATTTAGACCAATACTGTTAAAAGCTTGTACCATTTTCAACCTTAAGATCAGATTAAAAATTTTGGCCAAACGAAGAGAATGAGACTTGTCTTTCTACATCTTCCTCTGTTGACATTCAGTTTCTTGCCTTAGTACTTATCCTTAGTCTATATAATTCAATTTTGCACCAGGAGAGGATTTTACATACTGATCCCTAGTGAACTGCATCAACTTAATTTGTTTTACTAGGCTTTACAATCACAAGTTGAAAAATGCATCTTCTGATGAAAACTTGTCTTATTACTTACCTTTCATTGTGTTTTTTCCCTTTTTGATATATTTCTTGGATGAAGAAGTTGTCTTCTCATCAATTACCCTTTCCCCCCTCAAGTAACATGTTTCTAAGATAGTAATCCATACCTGTACTTAACAGGGGAGTGTAGCTGGTTGTCCAAGAGAACCATGGCATGACTTGCACTCTAAAATTGATGGTCCAGCAGCATATGATGTTCTCACAAACTTTGAGGAGCGCTGGTTGAAGGCTTCAAAGCCTCATGGCATTAGAAAGTTGAAGACGTCATTTGATGATGATTTGCTTCAAATTGGAAGAATGCCTGAAATTGTCGGTATTTCTGATGCTCCATCTGTGAGTAGTGATGACCCTAACAGTTGGCATGTACAGGTTAAGTGATTAACTTAATATCAACAACTTAGAAGTTTAATTTGTGTGTTGTCTTTGATCTTAGAGTCATATATTCTTTTTTCAATCATTAAGCAGATATTTCGTTCAATTGACTCGAACTCGGTCAAAGGCTTTCCAAAGGATCCTAAAGAAGCTACAATGAAGGTGAGAAAGATAGATGGAAGGATTGTTTGCGTGCACCAAAACATATACTCCTTCTATCCCAATTTATGAGATGCATTTTCTTTTTTAGTCTATCCGAAAAAATGATACCATTCTATATTAGAAACAATTTAACTTGAAACTTCCATTTTTCCCTTAATGAGGTAATTTGTACCCACACAAATATTTATGGCTTGTTTTAGACCACAAGTTCCAAAAGTATTTCTTTCTTAAACTTGGTGCATAGTCAAAGTGCATCACATAAGATGGGACGGAGGGAGTACTTATTTACTAATTTAAAGTAAACTCGTTTTTTTCCCATCTTTTTTTGCAGAACTTGGTGTGTGGTAAAAATGTACTTATTGACATGAGCATACACACAGCATATGTGAAGGCTATTCGTGCTGCACAACACTTCATTTACATCGAAAATCAATATTTCATTGGTTCTTCATACAACTGGACTCAACATAAAGATGTTGGTGAGAAGCTGTTTTTATGCTGTGTATAAATATTTTCCAATTTCTGAATACATCGAAAAAGCAAATTCGTTATTGTCATTTGCTACTTACTATAGAAAAGCCGTCGGAGTAGATTTAAAAATTTGTTATTCATGCTCAGCGGTGGCAAA